TCTCTAAAACGTCTGTTTTTAGCAAATAATCTAGACTTTTAATAATTAAATCATGTATTTCTTTTGCGACTAAATAATCAACAACTACGCATCAATTCTTTTCCTTTTCCAGATGGTTGACTCTTAAAAATAATTAAACTGGTTTTTCTCTTAGCTTGTCCTTCCGACGCTTGTCAGCAGCTTGGCCAAAATTATGGTCAGAATTGCACGTGGCCTGTCTATAATGAAAGCGGTAGAATATCATTTTTGATGTGCTGCAGAGATCTGGCCGTAGATGCACCAACGTTCGCAGCACCAGAAACGGAAGAAACGACGCAGATCACCACAGTTCATGTAGAAGTGACAACGACTGCTGGTAGCTAAATACGTGTCGTATACCAATGACTTTTTTTTTGCAAAATAAAAAAGAAGCAAACTTTTTGAGCTACATTTATTAATGGCAAACTTAGTTTCCAATTATTACAGGATGTAGAGATCAAAATAGATATGGAACTAATGTAACTGATTGCCCGGAAAAGGTTCGTTACTGCACAATACCAAGATATCTACAGTTAATGCAGAGACTGTGTCCGGCAACCTGTGGATTTTGTGCTTCCTCTGAAACCACCGGTAAAGATTGATTTTTTATCTTATTGGTACGAAAACAGATGTCAAGATTGTCACTCAAATTTTACTCACGTTATTGTCTGGTTTTTCAGAATGTTTTGATAAAAGTGCAGCTGGAAAAGAAACTGACTGTACAAAAAACGCAGGGTTTTGCTTCATACCTGTGTATCTTGAATTCATGAAAAAGGAGTGCCCTAAAACTTGCGGTTACTGTTAACTCATTACGATATGGGGAACTGTACAGACATTGAAAGATAACGATGAATATTCAAATAATAAACTATAGATATTTAATAAGGTTTATATAGTTTAATATGCATAGTTTATCCATATCATCTTTGTAATAAACATTCTGACTTCTATTTGCAAATGTGCTAGTGAAGAAAACCAACAACAGTAAAATAATGGCTGGCAAACGATGACCTTTTGAATTTTTTATTGATGGATTAGTTTCTTTTGCTATTGCAACAGTTAAAAAACTATTTTGTCAGTTTGGAAGAGTAAGTAACTGAAGAACAAGTCTGAGGAAAAATTAGTGTTTTTTAACTTAAATAAGTATAAACAAATCTCTGCTTATTTCACATTTACCAGTTAGCCTGAAGTTACTGATTTTTTTTATTTGAAAGCTTTTTATCAGCTACGCCAACAGTGGAGTTTTTCTGCCGCAGTATTTCATCTCCGCCATGTCGCATATGCAATTCTTATGATACCTGAGTTCATTACTGATCTTAGATACTGGTCAAATTCCAGAAGTAGTAGAGTAATCTCTGTTTTTTACGTAAAGCCCAAACGATTTTAAGCTTCTGACAAATTAAAGGCAAAAATGTATGATTATCATAGAGCAGTAACGACATTCTAGCTAATTGCCAAAGAAGCCCTGCTTGGCTAAGAGGTGTCTTTTACAGTGCAATAAATAAAAGCGGCAATTTTCAAGGGAATTCAATAACAGTCATTCTATGCAGTCTTAAAATGACTCAATCGAAAAAAAATTAAATAAATAAATAAATGAACAAGCATAAAGGCTCTTGCAGGGAAAACGTGAAAGTTAACGCGGCCTGGCAAGATCGCCCGCTTTCGTTGTTCATGCTATAACGTTAAGCGCCCTTAACCAAAAGACTAGAATCATTGTCAACAACAAGTAAAAGCAAGTGTACGTTTGACTGGAATCCAAGCAAAGACTTGTTTTTCTACAGCTTTCCATTATGATAAAGATCCAACTGGGAGAAACAAATAGGTAAGAAGAACAATATGAAGAAATTTCCTCGATCTGCTATGTAACAAAACAATTTGCACAATGCACGACAATCATTCCAAGCTGAGTGTGCCAATGAAAACATAGTTCCGTCATGAACAGCATTCGTCTAGTATATACTCATTATTCAATAATTTGCAGAAAAAATCTACCTTTCTTAAGCAATAAATATGAGGAACTTTCAAATAAAATTGTAACTGCTAAAGGAATTATGTAAACACTGCTTACATCCGGAAATTCAGTTCTAATTGATAAGTCTGGCAGCTAGAAGACATCAATGTTTATTTGGTATTTCTGCTTACAAACGCAAATATAGTATATAAAAGTCAGCACTTGAAGTAAACAGCACAATTTCGTCTAATCTGTCCTATTTGCCAGCAACATGCAGTTTATCGCTTTCGTTTGCTTTGCCGCAACTACCGTTCACCATTTAAATGTAAGTTTCTGCAAAATGGAACACTGGTGTAAAACCAGCAAGGAATACCAAGGTGATTAAACATGGACTATAATTTTTAAAGGCCGTCCCAGTCAATCTTATAAAAAATTCTGATTCGCGACAGAATTCTACTTTGACAGGCAGTGTGTTAACGTCTAACACATGTACTGAAGTTTCAAGTGCCAATAAAACGAAGAGGTCTCTTTTATACTTTATCGCACTCTGTTTTCATTTTTATGCAAATTGTAGCCTTTTTAAGAGTATTTTGACACAATTTCAGATGCTGCTGCTGTTGCTGCTGTCAACCGTGCTGCTCTTCTTGCTGTGCTCCAAAAATAACTGTCTCCTCTTGTTGTCAACCATCATGTTGCTGTTGTCGTCCATCTTTTTGTTGCTGTATTCCGAGCATGCGCTCCTGTTGTACTCCGCCTTGCTCCTATTGCTGCTGTCGCCCAACCTGCTGCTGTCAAACTGTGTGCTGTA